GCTCAGGTACCGAGTCCGGTATTGTGCCAGGTGCAGAACCTGGTACAGATTGGGCCAAGCACAACAGCATTAGGCTCAGGTACCGAGTCCGGTATCGTGCCAGGTGCAGAACCTGGTACAGATTCAGGTATAGTGTCAGGTACTAAGCTGCGGAGTTGGTATGGCTTCAGGTAGTGTCAGGTTCAGAGTCAGGTTCAGAGTCAGGTGCAGAGTCAAGTACACAATCATGTATGGATTCAGGTACAGTGTCAGGTACCGAGCCAGGTAAATGCAGTCAGGTACATGGTACTTCGCTGTCATTTCTCTGTTCCTGACCACAGAGTATGTTACCCCCACACCACTGGTACCTGACTCGGTACTTGACTCTGTACCTGACTGTATACCTGACTCTGTACCTGACCTTGTACCTGACTCTGTACCTGACTGTGTACCTGACTGTGTACCTGAGCTTGTACCTTTCCACAGACTTTGGTAAAAGGTCAGCTACAGACGACTTACCTGCAGTTGCTATTCACCTTACTACGCTGTACTGAGCTACTCTGCACCTCTCCACAGAATGCAAGCCCCCACAGCTGTATCTAACCGATAGACTGAACGTGGCCACGAGGTTAGGTACAGAATGCAGTACACAGTCATTCCTCTGTACCTGACGGCAAGGTCTGTAATATCTGCACAGCTGCACCTTATTGTGAACCTGATGTATACTTTCCGCCCGACCAAGCAGTTGGGTATAGAGTTAAGTTCAGATTGCTTTTCCCTGCCAATCCCCGGTGATCATCAGCTCCTCTACACCTAACCACAAAGCCGGAGATCCCCAAAGCTGCACCAGGCTCAGCACCTCACTCCATACCTCACTCCACACCTCTCACTCAATACCTCTCTCTCAATACCCGAGAAACAGTCCGTGCCTGACATGAGGTCAGGCGCTGAGTAAACACAGCAAAAATATCCCCTGCATGAGTGTTAGTGATAGGCGGAAGCACCAAAAACTTGGACACATGCGCTTCATTTCAAACCCAGGTCATCAGTTTAAACCCCAGTCATGAGTTCATGCAGCCTATCGATCGCAACAGACGCATTCCTGCCGAGTTCCCTTTCCATGCCATGGACACCACCAGCACAGCACCAGCGAAGCATCATGAGATGACCGGGGGAATACCATGAATTGATAACACACCTTAGTCAGAAAGAAGTCACCATCGTGAAGTTGATGAACTCCAAAGCCGAACCGTGAGGGGGGTGCATGGTGCTCTCCTCACTTGGAGTCTCAGAAATTCAGAACCCTTACCTGTGAGCTAATCTTGACGCATTCCATCGAACAGACGGGTCTGTCGGAGACACAACAACAATGATCCCTCGGCAATCGGACACGCACGGACGAGTTCAATAATCACAACAAGAGTCATTGTAGACGTAGACCGCATCATGCCTTGGAAGTAGCAGCTGCAGACGAGCAAGCAGAACCAGCATTCATACACCCTTGTGCAGTATGTCTTTGGCGCGATAACCGCAGCATGGGTGCCTCAAAGCCGACACATGTAGGAGCAGGCAGAGGATGAACATACATTCCATCGACCCTACCTACTCGTACAAATTATGACCAAAACAATATAATACGGGATGGTAGCTTGTAAGGCTATTAGAACTTTGCATACCAATCCCGCTTGACTGCTGCTCACAGCTGTTATTACTATTTAGGAAGGCCTGCGATAGAGGCCCGCGGTAGTGGGGTAGAGAGTTCAAACTGTGGTAGAGAACCCACTCCCACTACTGCTCTCGTTGCTATCTAGAATGAAGCAACGGTGTTCGAACTCTCAGTCGCTAACTGTGGGAGTCGTAGATTGAAGTCTTCAGCCTGTCAGCTTCAACTGTGATGATTGGAGGAAAAATTGGAGAACATATAGAGATATCATCATTACAGAATGTAATTTGCTGCATCGGAAATTGACATCAGGGAATAATGGTTAAATAAAGGCACTGCCCTCATCAACCTACAGGGCAAAACCAACAAACACACAAACCAGTTGCTGCCTGGCATTGTCAGCTGCCAGTCTAATTCCCTCCATAATAAAAAACTCTATTCATCAACCCCTATCCGGGAGACCGCAGCACTCCACTGGATATAACACATCCATTTTCTCGAGGGGTGCTCCTCAGCACC